TTTTTCGTCTCCTATCTTTATATTCGCTCTTTCCCTACTTTTTCTTCCCTTGCATACCAGTATTTTAGTTTTACTTTTATTTATTTTCATACAGTACTGATCTGTCAGTACCGCTTCCATTTTATTTAAAGCTATCTCTAGGTCCTCCTTGCTAGATGCTAATACTGCTATATCAAATCAGCTACTAATTAAAATATTTTTTATCCTGAAAGAAATCCAACTGCATTGGACACGGCACAACTCCTTCCAGTTTTATTACTAAACGTTACTACCTTTTCACAGGTGGCTTGCGTTCACAGATCACTTTACCATTAATCAGACTGACACAGGGTATTTACATTATGTATATTATTGTTTCATACGAAGCACTCGTAGTAGTAAGATATACTAAATGCTCATTATGAGGAAACCTCCGTTGTCCATATTAATCAAACAATAAAATAGGAGGAATTAATTAATTAATTTACACTTATGTAATATTCCAACTTCATATTTCGCCTAAATATTATATCTACCAATGCTAGGGGACAAATTAGAACGTGTTCAAAAGAAAGGCTGGCTTAAGCTAAGCCAAGTGAAATCGTTCAGCAAAAGGATAATGAAGTTCATTGGATTACATCGTACGGCTGAAAAAGTAAGAAAAGAAACCAAATATCTTATCTGATGTGATTATCTTTCACTAAAACCACCGGACTTGAATTAATAGAGGATGCCTCATGTAGCATGTAAGCTTCTATGTGGTAAATGAAGAGCGCATTGATAGGGGCATTTCCCCTTAGATTCCGCATGGGGACCCCGCAAAAGAAATCGGCGATACTGGAATGAAGTTTTCCTTTCAGGGTTTTATAAGGTAAATCTAGCACTACACAATATTACAAGGAAATGGACAATCCTAGCATCTGCCCTTTGAGGGTTCCTTTAATCAAGTATACCAGATCATAGTCTGATCGACGGACAGATCATACATAGATCGGCGATGACCGCGAGGATTGCTCCATACGTCATACAATAATAATAAGATGACCCGATCATCGAAAATAATCTGCCTGGAGTTCATTAACAGCTACGATTTTCATAAATCTAATACTATTCTATTAATACAGTGCGATTTTCGTAAACACTCTGCGTAGATTTGATTGACTGTTGCAGGTGTCATAAAATAATTGGAATTCTTAGAAATGGACCACGTGCGATCGAGTCCATGCTGGTTCTAATAAATTGTCCGGGCCAAATTGAATACTTAATTTCATTATCTTAAATTTCCAATAACCAATCACATGATCCTACTAAATAATATTTACATTTTCTCGTTTTTTCTTCCTAATCATCAATCATGAAGATCGTAAGTACTATGCGGCATCTGTAGATGCGAGATCCAGAAATCATATTAAACAGCGGGCAAACACGAGAGAAATCAGAAAAGAACCTTCTCTCTAGCCAACTAGCTATCTTTCTAAAAACCTACCATACGTAGCTGTAAAGCTATCAAACTAAGCTGTTAGGCTACCCAAATCAGCCGTAAAGGTGCTCATTTTAGCTGCAAAGCTATCCAATTTAGCTGTAAAGCTGCCAAACATTGCTGCAATGTTACCAAACCTTGTTGCGAAAATACTAAGTCTAACTGAAAAGCGACTCAACCTTCAGCATGTCTGAGTTACCCTTGACTTGAGCTGGTGCCACGGGATGGGCATCCGCCCACAATAGACGCCACCAGATGACTGTACCACCGCCGTACCACTGTCACCCCGGTGGCGCACGACATCTCAGTGACTAACGTTCAGCGTTGCCAAGTTCAGTAAATAGAATTTCGCACTCATTAGGAAAATTATTGTACGTTATTGCGCATGCGCATCGGAGTAATAGTCTAGTGGTGGGAGTATGAATTTGTAAAAAGAGTGTGTACCCTAGTGGTTTTCTCAGTTCTATTATACCATCAATACATGACACTATAAAAACTTTCCTGACAGAGAAAAATGAATTTCGGACTGGATTTTAAACATTTTGGAAGAAAGTTCTTTCTTTAGAGTCCATAAACAATTAAATTTTATTGAATGTATACAAATAAACGACTTTCCTACATATATTTATATATCTATGCATATAGTGTATATATTTTAACATTATAAAATTGTACTTAAGTTCTTAAAATCAACTATTCAACATACATAAAAATATTTTTTTTATAATTGAATCTAATACAATAATAATAATCAACGTATTAATTCTGTTTTATTATTATATCGTCATCACTATNCTCTTTGTGCCCCGTCTCTATCTCGGCGGCAGTTTTGACGTGAAAAAGTATTTATAGCTCATACATAAGCAAGGGATTTTCTTTAATGATACTGTTTTTTACCGATTAGTATAACATAATTTTTAAGAGTTATGTCACACAAGTTAAATCTTAAAAACGAATTATGTTCAATGAGCACCACCATTCAGTAAAACAATAAACTAAATTATTGACTATACCCACTGTTATCGTCCATCCGCATAAACATTCTTACAGGTTATAGGTTAACGCCCTTAACAATTGTGCTTAGCTTGGTATAAATAACGGCTAACGGCTAATAGTTAATCTTGACAAAATTAAAATCAACATATACATACATATAAAAAAAAAAAACTTAGCTGCCAAATTTACCCAAAGCAGACCAGTCTCTAGTAGTAGCCTCAAATCTCGTGTCGTGATGATGGTGTGAGAGATGTGGTGATTAAAAGTGGCCGACCTAGGGCATTTTCATATTTCAACTAAAGCCTTCTAAAATATGTTTGGAATCTCCCATAATGGTTGAATTGTTTCCAGTCTAATGGATATGTGGGTTACCGGGTAGACCAAATTATATTATATTATACGCCGACATGCAAGTATTATGAATACGAAAATCGTTGTTGAAATCGCGAACGGATACGCAAGATGTGACTTTGCATCACATCAATAATGAAAACTCAAAATTCCGTCTCCTAACATCCGTTTCAGCCCCTAATATGTCTCTGACTAGACCTTCATGCCTGAGAAGGTGTCCTATCAACCTATCTCGCCTATTATTTATTGACTTCCATAGAGTCCTCTGTTCGCCTATTCTTTCTAACACCTCTTCATTTCTAACCTTCTCTGTCTACGGTATACTCATCATTCGTCTGTAACACCACATTTCGAAAGCATTTAACCTTTTCTTTTCCGCCGCGCCTACTGTTCATGTTTCAAACAACATGGAACAAAAATTAAAAGCACCTTGTATTATAGGCAAAGGTTGCTTCTCTTTTATAAGAAATGTTAAACCTGTTGTTTATCGCTTAGGAACCAGCATGGAAGTGCCACATATGGAAAAAAAGTCGGGATTCGGGNACTCTTTCCTATCCTGAGCTAATCTTCGCATTTCCCTAAAACTACAACAACCCACATCCTTAACTATTTGCGAACAATAATCCAATCTAGGTCTACCTCCTCCCCTCCTAACATCCGTTTTAGCCTCCTGACCTGTCACTGACCAGACCTTCATGCCTGAGAAGGTGTCCTACCAACCTATCTCGCCTATTATTTATTGACATTCATAGAGTCCTCTGTTCTCCTATTCTTTCTAACACCTCTTCATTTCTAACCTTCTCTGTCCACGGTATCCTCATCATTAGCCTGTAAAGCACATTTCGAAGGCTTTTAACCTTTTCTTTTCCGTCGCGCCTACTTTTCATGTTTCAAACAACACGGAAGAAAGATTAAAAGCACCCTGTATTATAGGCAAAAGTTGCTTCTCTTTTATAAGAAATGTTAAACCTGTTGTTTATAACTTAGGAACCAGCTTGGAAGTGCCACATATGGAAAAAAAGTCGAGATTCGGGAAAAAGCAAGAAACCGAGACGGAAATTCCACTTTAAGCAAATTGCGCGGTAAAAAGCATTAAGTGTACCATCAATCCAAAGAATTATCTTAATCTTTTTTTCCAGGGCTGTGAAATTTACATCGAAGTTATTTGGCAGAGCGTTATCCAGACGTATCAAAGCCACGATTATTTATGCTACTGAAACGGGTAAATCTGAAATCTACGCTAAAAGACTGAAGGACTTGTTTAGCCACGCTTTCAATGCACAAGTTGCCTGCATGTCAGAGTATGATATTTCTAGTATAGAACACGAGGCGTTGCTACTNATAGATAAGAACTGCAGCTGTGTACGTTGTTGAAGAAGACGATCCTGTCCCTCCACCAAGCATCAAACAAGCACTTGATGCAGCGAAACTATTAAAAAAATACTTTTTATGTAATCAAATTGATCCAGCAGTATCTCAAGATATGAGTAAGATAAGTAACAAGATACAATTAAAATATTGGAGTAGCAAAAAACATCAGACGAAGATAACAGGCTATACGCAATGTATGAATAATAATGTTCGTGTGCAAAATGTGTACTATATTGGTAAATTCATATTATTATAGAATAGTAAAATAAATCAGACGAAGATAACAGGCTATACGCAATGTATGAATAATAATGTTCGTGTGCAAAATGTGTACTGTATTGGTAAATTCATATTATTATAGAATAGTAAAATAATATCTTTTATTTCTCTCTATTTAACGACCACTCTTTATAACGCCGAAAAATGTTCAGTCCCTTAAGTGTCGTTATATAGAGTTTACACTGTACTTGCTAATGACATTTATTTAGATAATCCAGCAAATATCATTCGGGGATATTGAAACATCAGATCTACATAGTCAAATTTAAGGTATATGGTTTTACCGTTTTACTTTAACGTACTTCATATACCTTTTTTCCATTTTTCTATAATGTACTTATTAACGAAAATTAATTATTTTGTCACGTTTGATTTTAGATCCGCAATTACAATTTTTCCACAACGGACCGATGGGAAACATGATTTTCGCATTTGGAATCCACAACTCATAAGTTATGCTGGTTATAGACAGCCTGATGGATCAATTGTGGGTGACCCAATTAATGTCGAATTTACTGAAGTGTGCTTAAAATTAGGCTGGAGAGGAGCTGGAACAAGATTTGATGTTCTTCCATTAGTTCTTTCAGCTAACGGACATGATCCAGACTATTTTGATATTCCGAAAGAATTAATATTGGAAGTACCCTTAATCCATCCAACGTAAGCATACAATTTTTGTATATTAATCTTATACGGGTATAACGTACTTTTCCACATGCTTTTGGCGTAATCGTTGGCGGGTTGTATATAACGTATTTTTCTACACGCTCCTAGGGTAATCGATATTGTATTAATTAATTTTCTTTGGGTATAAAAAATCCAGACACAGTAATGAAAAATCGTTACATCATATAACGAACTTATTATCATTTAATTCAACCAGAAAAAATGTACATGTATAGGTGTAAAATTGAGAATTAAATGAATAAAAAAAATGTTAATACAACATAACATATATGACCTTGATGGCTTCAGTGCACAAGATGGTAATAATCGTTGGGGCCGTTTTGGTTCCGAAAATTCGTGGTATAGTCGATGGTACGGTTAATTGTAATAAACGTTAAACGATGGTTGTTACTTATGCAAAATCCAATTTATGAAATGTTGAAAAAAAACTAAAAAGTTTTGGGTGTTTCATTCACACCAGCCAGTACTGCTGGTCCCTCCGGATTATCCCGAAAGTTAGGGTGGAAGGCCCTCTTCAGCCTCCTTTCAGGAATCGTGGGAATGGGTGGGTGGTGATTCCGGTGAGAAAGACGATACGGATGAAATGACGACAGGAGAGAATGAAAGATTATCTGTGGAATATTACTGCCCCAGCATTTGCCTAAGTGATCCAAGAAAACCACAGAAAACCTTGGAACAAGGCAGGCGAATCCGGAATCGGACCGGCGTCCTCTAGAATGCTAAGCAATGGTCTAAACCTCTCGGCCATGCCACTCGGTGAATTATTGATTGAATGTGATGTATAGACGGGATTGACTAGTTACTGTCCCCACCTTTCCTATTAATACGACTTCTCGTCGCCTTCTCACAATACTCTTCTCAATCGATGAACCCGAGTCCAACCGTATCCGACAGGTCACAATTCCTTACCTCAGTACACGTTCCTACCCGTTCAGATGTAACTTGCGTTCACATATACATGCATCAACGTACAGCCAGTTACATGATTCACTTTGGGTATAAAAATTCTAATCACAGTAACGAAAAATCGTTATATTTTATTCAACATAAAAAGATAACATGTATACATAAATTAAAGTATAAATGAATAAAATAAAAAATGAAAAGTTAACAACATAAAATGTCTGACATAGTCACTCAATATGCAAAATGGTTGACACAGTTAATTGTAATAAACGTTACATAATGACTGTTACTCATATCAAACGGTTAGAGATGTCCCTAATTTAAC